TCTTTATGCACCAAGAGCTTGTAACACTCCAAAGAGAAAGGAAAAATTGAAATCGCATCATATGACCCCTTTAAAAAATCTTAAAATATTCCATTATTTTTAACCAAAATTGACCTGTCTTTGCCAAAAAAATAAATAAAATTATGTGATTACATTTTTTATTTTTTTTAAGTGCTTATGATTTATTATAGCTCAAATAACTGCTCATACGAGAGAGTCTTTCCTTCAAATGGACACATTTAGAGACTGTGACTTTAGCGTACTTTTACCTTTATTTTTTCATGCCTGGAGTTGTCTGGTGTGCCTTTAGTGAATGTGGTACCTTTGTGAGGTGATGTAGATCAACTCGTGAGGTATAAACTTGCACTTTTTTCCATATCACGTATTCATCAATAAACACTCCCTGTTTTTCCTATTTCGTCATTCATTTGAATACAAAAATATCTTTTTTTTTTTCAGTTCTGCACGAAACAGTCATTGCAATCGTATACTAGTCAGCCTGGTGCCATTTTGGATAATATCCACTGAACGCAAACAGCGTATGCTATTCTGTGTCAGCTGCGTCACGCAGATACGTTGTTTTCGTTCAAATCTGTGACACCGCTGACACAGAATAGCATACGCTGTTTACGTTCAGTGGATATTCTCCAAAATGGCACCAGGGTGACGCGGAGGAGACAAATTGTTGAATAAAGTCGTTATTTTTGTTTTCTTTGCGTACAAAAAGTATTCTCATAGCTTCGTAAAATTACGGTTGAACCACTGATGTCACATGGATTATTTTACCGATCTCCTTGCTACGTTTCTGGACCTTGATCGTGGTAATTACATTGCTGTCTATGGGAGGGTCACAGAGCTCTCAGAATTAATCAAAAATATCTTAATTTGTGTTCCGAAGATGAACGGAGGTCTTACGGGTTTAATTTGACCTCTAATCAATCTTTGAATAAATCAGGAATCTTTGAATATTTTCTTTGGTAAGCGTTGAGGGACGTGCCCAGTATACGATATGATAATAATAATGCAATAATATAATTTTGTGCATTTTGCCTAATATGCTCCTTATCCACCAAAAACTACAATTATGTAAACACATCTCACTTTTGAGTGAGTCTCAAATGGTCAAATCTCCCTAAGGAGGGCCAAGAAAAGGTATGTACCCTATTTATTATTATTACATAACTTATAAAAACCATGCTATTAGTATAGTAAAACCATGGTTACTTACTATAATAAAACCATGGTCAATTGCCGTAAGGGATGTTTTGGCATTTTGATTATCATGGATAAATTATAGTTAATTTAATAAATCCATGGTTGATTTTAGTAAGGGACATACTGTAAATATGTTACTTTTTCAAATGCGTTTTCAAAGAACAGTTTCAGTAACAATAGTTACATAAAAAAGGTTCGTAACAAAAATCGCTTTCGCTTGAGGAGGTAACCATAGCAACAGCTCAATCGCTGTAACAAACGGTATATCGACAAAAGCTAATTATTAATTTATCATAGACTTGGCACAAATATATCATGATAAAGTTTGTAAGTGTTTTGTTTAAACGCGTTTAAGATAGTTGACGGTTAACTACGCTAGAGGCGCCAAAAAAAACATCGACGCGCGCCCAGAAAATGACTAACGTAACGTTAAACGAAATTTATGACCCTTCCGAAAGTAAATATAAATAAATAAAATAATAATAAACAATTCGCTCTGATATCTACGCTCAAGTCCTTAGCAACATTTAAATAAGATGAGGCGTGTGAGGGTTACTAAAGGATCCTGCTGATAGCCAATGACAGTGTCTCAATTATTCTTTACGTTTCTTATGAATAAATCCAAGGGGCGGGTCTTTGCCGAGCGCCGCAGATATCGATAAGGCGTGTTTCTCCTCTGTGGAGTGTCTTATGCCGAAGACATGCGCTACCAACATTATCTTTTAGAAGCGGCTCACGTATTTATTTAAGCGGTGCAATTTGTCCAGCGTGTTTGGAGGGGATGGGATCTTGGGAAATGGGCCGTGCATGGGAACAGCAAGAACCGCTTCTTTACAATTAGATCTACACCGGATACCGGGAAATGAACCACGCACGAGCAGCGAGCTGGATACCGTCTATACGAGGAGCTGTCAGCATAAATATATGATATGTTTCATCTGATTTGATCACTTGCATTGATAGCTTCGATATTCTCTATGTATGGCCGTTCTGTCATCATGATATCGGGTTTGTGAAGAGGCGCACGCGTGAGCCGCATCCGCGCGAGGTGCATCTCAACATGACAGGTAACGAAAATGACTCTGATGTACGGTGCTATTCACCTTCTGTATCCTTGCATGTCAATGCCCATTTAAAAATACCGTAAATATGTGTCATATGATCTGGGTTCGGGGAGATCCTGCCGGTATGCGCGTCTGAAGATGCTGTTTTTCCATCTTTGACCCAGTGCATGCTCTTAGTCTGTTCCTACACCCGCCCTTTTCCATCTGTACCGCTATTTATCTGCTTCAGATCTATATCTGTACCTGTCTGACAAGATGCACGCGATATTAACCTCACGGGAGCCATGGGCCGCGCGCACCGATGATCTGTCGTTATAACCTACATTCACACAGTGTGGACACTGTGACTTGATGGCGTTATAGGTTTGCACGGCATTGAAATACATGAAAATATACATGCTATGGATGATGCATGTGTGATAGATAGACAGACAAATAGATAGTGGAACTGTATAGACTAAAATTATTTTTCAAGTTTTATTAACTATTTGTAAAAATTTGGCCATTTTTGACTGAAAAATTGTTTCACTACCATTTTTTTAAGTATAGATATATCAATAGAAAGTTAGATAGACAGACAGACTGAAAAAATGGTTATTAATTTTTGGTCAAATTTACTAGCAATTTATTTCAGGAGATAGATAGATAGATAGATAATTTTCGGAGTTTATTATTAATTATTTGTGAAACTTACTAGCAATTTCTGATTGAAAATTGTATTTACCAATTTTTTTATTGGTAAATAAATTTAGATACCAATTTAGATACCAATTTAGATAGATAGAGCCGGTCTTATTTCACAAAATTTTGCTTTGAATGATCATGTGAGTTTAGATAGCAATAAAACATTTGATTGAGAAAAAAAGCTAAAATACAAATTTAAACAAAAAATTATTTGCATAATCATGAAAAAAAAGTAATTAATTTGACGTTGGAAGATTTAAAAAATATATTATTTAAAAAACTTCAAAGTAATTTTGAAATCACAGACCTTTGATTGCAGACTTTGGGATCTTGACCAACTGGACACTGTTTGAGGCATTTCTGAGATCTTTTCTGAAACTTTTGACACTAACGTCTGGAGAAACATTTTCAGCCATTTGCTCTTGAATCTTCTTGTCTGTAGGAAGACTGCAAAATATGAAATAAACAGTATATACAACATATTTCCCAAGATAATATATACACAGTATATCAGACTGATATATGCCAGTATTGGAACCTAAAAACCAATTATTTAATCTGAGTTTGTGTGCAATGTCTCATTAATTGCCAGAAACCTAAAACCATGTGAATGTTAGCATATGCGTTACAGTACTATCTGTCATTTTATATATATATATATATATATATATATATATATAGGATGATGGTGATGCCTTCAATTCATCCTACATAAAACCATGCAATGTGAAATTCAGCTTTACTATCTAACAGATTATGTGTTTCTTTTTCTCACAGCAACATATAGAAAAGGAAGGATACCAAGCGGGAAGACCTGTGGCTATCCAGGGGACATTTTATCAGGGTCAGATGGCCTGTCTTGAATAAGAAACGTGCAAAAATGGAGAGCTCTGGTTCAAGGATGGTACTGAGGAGCTCGCGGCGACTGCTCGGATGTTGCACGCTTCTGCTCGCCGCTGCGATGTTGGTGGGCTTCATGGCGACGTCTGGCACACCCGTTGCAGGTATCTCATCACAGAGTGCACCAAAAGTTTGGCTTAAGGCTGGTACTTTTGCTTTTTTTGTCACTTCCGTCACATTTCGTTTAGTTTCTGTGGACCTATTGTGAGTCAGTATCCTAAAAAGCGAGTCTTTTTCATCACAGATGATTTGAATGTCAGAGGAACGGTGGGCGTATGTTTGAGTGATTCTCTCTTTGTGTGAATGACGTGTGTCGCAGTTAGAGGTGAAGAATGAATGGGATTCACAGTTAATTGTATTGAGATGTGTGTGAGACAGATTCTACATTGAAGAAAGCACATATCTACCCACAGAGTGAATTCTTAAAATGAAAATACCTTGAAGTGACACGCTGACTATACAGATTAGACATGGTCGGCTTAGTTCTTGCTTGGCACTTATGAAGGACCTTTAACATCCATAGAACCTTTCCATTGCATAAAAGGTTCTTTAAATCAGCTGTATATATCTATATCTATATCTATCTCTCTCTCTCCCTCTCTCTCTCTCTCTCTCTCTATATATATATATATATATAAAGAGAGAGAGAGAGATATAGATATAGATATATAGATATTATTTAAGAAGCAAAATGGCAGTTAATAAGTCTTGTTTTCTGAAAAACATTATCAAAATTAAGTGAGTTTAAATAACTAAAATATCTGCCAATGGGGTAAGAAAAATAAACTTAATTCAAAGGAAAACAATTTAATTTTTCTTATCCCATAGGCAGATTTTATGTCTTTTTGTGATCATAAATCTTTTAATTAAATCACAAAATTTTGATAATTAGTTAATAGTTCATATTTAAATAATTTAACAACACATTCATGTGTTCACTGTTCTCAATAATAATGTCAATAATAATAATAATAATTAGTAGTAGTAGTAGTAGTAGTAATAATAATAGTATTTCAACTCTAATTATAAAAAATAAAGACAAATATATTACGGTTGTAAAATTACAATTGTACTGTAAAATAAAAACTGAATACTTGATAATTATAATAATGAAATGTGACTATAGGGTTATTTAATTGGACTAATGTTATTAAACTAAATTGCAACCTTTGATTTCGATATTGCAATAAGCTAATAATCACACAGCCCCATTTATTTATTTTAATTTATTTTAATTTAATTTTTATTATGACCAGATCTGTTAGAGACAATGTCTAAGCCATTAAGCCCCCCATTTTTAGACCCATATTAATTTAATTTAATATTATATTATATAAATACTAAAATATTAATAATTACTTAAATATGAGTTTTACATTTAGCTTTTTATCAACTTACAAACCACCGTTCAGGAAACCCTGCTTTAAAATGTTCTTTACAAAAAGGAAAAATGCTTCTTTTAAGAACCATTCATTAAAAGGTTCTTTTAAGAACCCAAAGTGGTTCTTCTAAGACAGAAAACTCCCTTTTGGAAGCTTTATTTTTAAGATAGTCGCTCAGTAACTGGAGACAGCAGGCTGATTACCGTGAGCGTATTTATGCTGGTTCCACATCACTGTAAGATACACACATACACACACACACACGCGCATCCCAGACAGATGGATGAGAGTGTTTCAAAGCTCTCTGAAAGGGAAGATGCAACTTTCAAATGCACACCCACTTCATCAGACACAAACACACACACACACACACACACACACACACATGGTCGGAAAGCATGGGGGTTAATTAGGAGTCACACACCCCGACGAGCCCACAGCTGTGATGGAAATGTGTCCTATGGTGCAACAAGCCCCCCATTAAAGCCATTGATCTTGTCTCTCTCACACACACAATCTTTCTCTTTCTGTGGCTCTGCGGTATCTGATGGTCGGCATTGATGATTGGATTTAGGAACATCAAAGCTAAGTGGACTTGGGTCTGTAATAATGCGCTGCTATTCATAGACGCAGTTTCTCCTCTGTTTTCTCCTTTATGCCTGGGAAGCTGTGTCAGTGGAATCGGCATACGTGTGAACGTGCCCGCATGAGCTCATTCTGTCGGTGTGAGAAATGCCTGTGTGCTCTGTAGCATACTGATGAAGCGGTCGGCGTGTGGCATCACGCAGCATCACCATGGAAACACCTCGCCTGACCACACCACAGAGCCATCCATAGGACTAGTGTGTGTGTGTGTGTGTGTGTGTGTCTCGCTTTCCCTGTGTGAAGTTGTGTTCTCCATCGAGATGCTCTGACAGTTAACTGAGTCTGAAGTTAATTACTGAAGTTATTTCGTATGTCGTTCCCCAGAGTGGTTCGTCTCGAGGTTTAACACACATTAGAGTCTTCATAGATAGGATAATGTACATGACCAGATTTAAAAGGAACAATTTATCCAAACAAAAATTAAAATTCTGTCATTATTTACTCACCCTCATGTCGTTCCAAACTGGTAGGACTTTCTTTCTTCTACGAAAGAACATATTTGTCTTTTTTTTTTGGCCATATAATGAAAGTCAATATGGACAAATTTCTTCAAAATATCATGTTAGAATATCATGTTATATGTGATTCTCATACTTTCTTTTTTTTTAACTAAGTGTAGATTTTTTTTACTGTAATGAAGTTCAAAAACTTTGCATATTTGCTTTCAAATGATGGTGAAATTAAGAAACTGACACATAAATACTATCTAAACAATGTGATTTTAGTGTCATTGAGATGCTGTAGATTCATTAGTATTTTGGATTAGTTTTTGTTTTCCATTTTCACATTTATTTTAAAGTTTTAGTAATTTCGTTGATATTTTTTTACATTTTAATTCTTTTTTTTAAACGTGTATGTTTTACTCATTTTTATTTCAAATGTAGTTTCAGTTAATGTAGTTAAAATAAATGTAAATGAGAAACTGTCTGAAATAAAATAAGTTCAAGTTTTTAAAAATATTTTTTTAATGGTTTTAGTCTTTGGTTTTAATAATTTTATTGTTATAGCTTCAGGGAAGTTTCATGTCATTACACAACATTTCATTAAACAAAAAAGAAAAAATTACACTCGTAATTTTCAGAAATAACAGTATCAGAAATGACGTGGTGTTTCGAGGTGTGAGGTTCTGCTAAAAATATGAAATATTTAGGATAAATCTACATAAACTAGTCAGCCTCACTGTAAAGCCTGTGTTATACTTTCCACGTGCGCGAGTCCGCTTGGGTCCGCTATGGTATGCGTGACGTAAAAATCGTCATCGGAGAGTGTGCGCGGAGGCTCTGCGCGGACATCCGCGTGCCTCCCATTTTTTGTGCAGTCAGTAGGCTACAAAAGCACCAACTGCGCATGCGCAGGCTGTGTGAATAAGCCCGTTGCTACTCGAACCTGTACAATCCATCGATAAAACAAGATAAAGACAGCCAGATGTGCAATAACTGTGGGCAATTGTTTGTTCACAACTTCACATGTTTGTTTACTGTTCAAGCCGATCTACTGCGCATGTATGGAGCACGTCCGCGGAGCGGACCATCAGCGTATGCTTTCGGTAGTATAATTACTTTTAAATTCACGAAAAAATATCTGAGTAACTTTTTCAAATAAGTAACGCAAGTTACTTTGTTTTCCCATTTAGCCTGAGGCTTATTCATTTCACTTTTAGTGTGAAAAGGACCTTTACAGTTGACAAAAATACAGGTGCATCTCAATAAATTAGAATGTCGTGGAAAAGTTCATTTATTTCAGTAATTCAACTCAAATTGTGAAACTCGTGTATTAAATAAATTCAATGCACACAGACTGAAGTAGTTTAAGTCTTTGGTTCTTTTAATTGTGATGATTTTGGCTCACATTTAACAAAAACCCACCAATTCACTATCTCAACAAATTAGAATACTTCATAAGACCAATAAAAAAAACATTTTTAGTGAATTGTTGGCCTTCTGGAAAGTATGTTCATTTACTGTACATGTACTCAATACTTGGTAGGGGCTCCTTTTGCTTTAATTACTGCCTCAATTCGGCGTGGCATGGAGGTGATCAGTTTGTGGCACTGCTGCGGTGGTATGGAAGCCCAGGTTTCTTTGACAGTGGCCTTCAGCTCATCTGCATTTTTTGGTCTCTTGT